AATTGCTGTGTACTTGGCCTAGTCCCTGGTTCTTTGGCCTTAACCTATAGTATTTTTATGACCGTAGGCTATCTTAGTCTTGGTATATCAGGAAGAACAACTGGTTAGAACAATTATGTCATTTTCGCTAAAGTGGTCCAATAAGCATTAACAATAGCCTAAAAATGCCAAAATTTTATAACTATTAATTTGCCACCTTTAACTGTATGACCTAGATTTGTGGTCATATAACAAAATCTAAAATGAACCAGAAAGTTGTATGCTGTAGATAAATGTTCAATATGGCAATTTTATCCTCAGGGGAAAAAGTTTAAAAGGGCTTAAGTGGAAAATGTAAGTAATAGAAAGAAAGGTAGGAAGGCAGGATCACACAAGCATTGGGAAACTGGTGCAGGAGAGAAAGAGTGAAAGAAGAAATAAAAACAAGAACAGAGTAGAACAACAACACTCATCAAAACAATAACAAACAATGAATAAAGAACAAAAACTAACACTCAAAAAAACAAGAGAGGTAGGAAATTAAAAAAAAGGGAAAAAAATTCCTCTCCAAGGTGTGTCTCTACTGCTGCTCATAGACAGTGTGGACAGAAAGAGTCCAGATCCATGTTGATCAATCCTAGCAAGCCAGCATCAGCTCCATTGTGGGTAGTGGATAATTTCAGAGAGCCTTCACCCCTATTTCTGCTGAAGTTCAGGTTGGCCTCTGGCTATGAGACTAGAATCAGGCCTGCCCATCTTGCAGCAGTCCCTGGGCCTCCTGTGTTCTTGAAGCTGGCTGGGAGCCACTAGATGGAACCTGCAGCCTCTCTGAGTTCCAAACTCAGTTGGCCTCTTTCCAAGATGGCTCCCAGCCAATTGCCCTCTCTTGGTGGAAGTCCCAACAGGAACTACTCACCAGCCAGTGCTGTCCACTGCAGTCCACCACCCTGCTCCACTGATGTACTTCTTCATGGAGGCCTCTGGGGTCACCAGCAGTCCGGCATCTGCAGCCCCTCCAATGCAGTGAGTCTGGGCTCAGGGAGAAAGCACTGCCTGCCTCCTTCTCCTTCTTCATTCAGGTTTCTTTCTTCACTCTCCTCTCAGGATTAAATTCTTGCTTCAGATCTTTTCTGTGTCCCAGAAACCCTCCCCCTTATTCTCTTCCTCACATCATCAGTGTCTGGACACCAAATCTAAGGGTAGCTCTTTCTCTGCTGCCCACCACTCTGTCATCTTCCTGGAAGTCTTGTTTGTGTCCTTTGACTATGCAGATGTCTTTTCCTTTGCAAATTCTGATACTTAAATGTCTTGGATAGTAGTCTCTACTAATATCTGTTATGCATTAGGATGTTTAGAAATGTTAAGGTACTTTTAGACCAAATGTAATAGCTATTCCAGCCATTTGTTTTCATATGCAGTTCTAGAATATGCAAAGGAATAAGGTATGTATTACCTTATATAAGGTATGTATTACCTTATATATATATAAACAACTCCATTTCCCCGTATCATTAACATGATATATTTAAACTCATTGTATATAAAATAAATGGGAAATGACCCAAATTGTTCACTAGAGGAGTAATTTCTTCCATGGTATTTTCTGTAGATAATTGAGGACTTACATCAAGGAGAATAATTTACTGATGGTCTTTCATGCTCATCGGTATCGTATGTGGCTTGTCTTGTTTGGCAGGACATTAAATCTCAATTTTCTTTCAGTGACAGTTGGGATGACCAGACATATCCCATGATTGCTAACAGGGGCTGAAATTCTTGCATCATTTTTTAGGTTGTGGGTTAAAGTTTCAATTTCAGTTCAAGTGAGATCAATTCTGATTTTGTAAGAACATAAAAAGTAATGGTTCCCATTTAGTATGTTTGTGACTCATAATATTTACATTCATTTTGGAAAATTAGTAATATAAGTATAGTATTTTGATCATTTTAGCCTCTTTTCCCATCCCTTCCATTTCTCTGGCTCCTTAGATCCTTTTCTCCATCTCTAAAAAGTCTACCTCTTTATTTCTTACCATTCTTCCTTTATCTTGCTCTTTAAATTATTTATATTTTAGGATGCGCATATAAGGGAAACTACTCAATATTTAGCCTTGTGTCTTATTTATTTCACTTAATATTATAGTCTCACAATCCATTCATTTTTTTCTATGAATGACTCACATTTATTCTTCTTTATGGCTGAGTAATAATACATCTGTCTATTGAATGACAGACATCTAGGCTGGTTTCATATTTTAACTATTGTGAATTGAGCTACTAACTTGTATCAAGCATTCATTGAGGACAAGATTCTGTGGTAGGTGACTCCAAAAAGATAGAAATGTTGGACACCATATTGTAGGCCTACACACAAATAACTGAAATACCACATGTTCTAAATTTAAATTTCTGTAAATACAGACTGTAAAATCATACTGAAAGAGAGGTAAGTTCTGACCAGGAAGTTCAGGACAGGCTTTCTAGAGCAGTTGTTCCTGAGTGAAGTCTTAAAGAATGGGAAGGATATGGCCTGCAGAAATGAAATTAGAAGATGTTTCAAGCTATATCAGTGCCATGCACTTCATCTGTTACTGGCTTGGTGGTCATGGTGAGCAGCCTCCTGTCCTGGACTGCCAGGGATTTTACTAGAAATCAGAAAACAATGTTGTGGCTGGCAGCAAAGACCTATTATTAGAAGTTATCAGGAGATGTGGACAGGAGGAGACTGATGCTGGATAAAGTCAGATAAGGAAAGTGTGAAGAGGCTTTGGAACCCAAGTGTTATGAACCCAGAAGCAGCCAGGAGGATGGAGGGGGAGAACTAGGAAAGCAGCTCTGTGGTGATTTGTTCAACAAGATAATCAGCACCTATTGGGAAATCAGTTTTTTTTCTTCTATTTAAAAATGTACTTAAAACTAAAGGTCATGCATTCAGGTGGTAAATTCAAGCAATTTGGAAATATATACTTTTATTTTCCCTTGGTTTTTGCTGTCACAAAAGATACTGTAGTTATGACCCAAGTCATCATAAAATCCTATTTCAACTCCTCCCTTCCACCATACAAGTTTTACATAATGCTTAAAGTTGTGTAAGCTATTAAAATAGTCGTTCATTATTATTTACTTACTTTCTCTGTTTGTTAGTGTGTATTGACTACTTATTTTTTCTTTGGGACATCTTTTTAGCAAATAAATTATCTATGTTAAGAATACAGTTAATGTGTAATATGTAGTTCATAACTTCCTACACAAAAACACCCACACTAAACCAAATCACCTATGTCTGAGATTCATTTTTCTCTCTAGGTCTGCTGGATCCAAGTTAGTTGCAATAAGTGCCTATAGTGCTTTGAAACTGTGGGAATCTTTTGAACTCTTAACAATAATTAATATTCTGTAAATAATTTCTGACATTAACTGAACACTTGTGCTTGTTGGCATGTTTTCAAGTATCTTTCATTGATTACATTATTTAATTTTCATAACATACAGAGATTAAATAACATGTTTAAGGGCCATGTTTAGTAAGCTACAGTGCTTTTAACAACAAGGCTACATTTCCCAGCAGATCAATTTCTGACCTGACTTAGTGGGTAGTTTCATCCATCAAATAAAAAGCCTTATCAAGTGCCGGATGTTGTCACCATACAACGCTGTAAGAGCAACACAACACAGAATTTTACAGCAAAGTTGGAAGACTGAGTCAGCAAACACATTGACCCCTTAAGAGAAAGTGCCTTTGAGAAAGCGGTTTCATAACTGATGACACTGGTGATATTTTGTTTCTTCTTTCCTCCAAATAAAACCTATGAAATGCTGGATATGAGGAGTTGTTTGCTACTGCATGATTCAGAGTTATGTTTACCGAAAATGCTTACTTTATAGACAAGGAAACTGAGACCCTGGCTTTATTAGGAGGTATTCATGAGATCAATAACTGGCTAGAGAAAGGGAAGGAAAGGATAAAGAGAAGGAAGGAAGTAGCACTGGGCAGAAGAGTTCTTGTTTGTGTTGTTAGGCTAAATTAAAACTAGTGTAAGTTTGTTACAGTTAATTCATGTTGTTAAAAAGTTCTTAAAGATTTTCAATAAATTTAAATTCATACAATTATGCAGGTAGTTTATGATCCATTCTCGGTGTTGTAGAGGGTGACAATGTTTCAGTACTCTGGGCCCTGACATAATTAGCATCAGACCTACTGAGCATGCTATCTGGCTCCTTAATTACTTAGTGGAAAGGGATTATTTTTTGTGTCCCTTTGGCAGAGATAATTATATCAGTGTTCCGTGTGGAGAACAAGAACAGGGCGATGGTAACTGTAGAGAGGTGCCCCTCAGATGGCCTCAGCTGCAGGTGTGCAGTCAGCATCCTGCCTGCAGCTGTCAGGTTCTCGTGCTCTCTCTCACCTCACCTCACAAATCTGCCTCTCTCAAAAGGGTGTCCTGCTAGGGGAACATCTGGTGACTAATGGAGGAGGACGTACAAAGACTAAATCATTACAGCATTTCATTTAGGATTGGCTATGGATTTGTCAGTAGGCTGGTATCACAGTCTGAGATTCATATTCTCTCTCTCTCTCCCTTTCTCCCTAGTCCTGGATCGTTCCCATTCCTTGCAGGGGGATTGATCCCCACTGCGTAGTCTACATGTTAGCCTCCATGCCAGTGTCTGCTGGGACTTAAAATTCAGCTTCCCATACTCTTTTTCTTTCCTATCACTAGGGTCCAATGCAAAAAGAAAATCCAACGTCTCGTTAAAAAAAACAAGAACAAGTGCTGATTAAAGTATCAAAATAGAAAGCTTTTCAAGGTCATGAGTTCGATTCCCAGTACTGGAAAAAATAAATAAATAAAAATTCTAAAAAAAAAAATAGAAAGCTTTTCTTTCTTCAGTGGTCTCTCAATTTTTGTGTTTTCAATTTACTATTTAATAATTAGAACTTTTAGACAATGTGCAGCTGATTGAAACTTTGAAGTTTTGTTTCAATTATCATGCTCATTTACCTGCATTGTGTTTTTCAGATGTATCTCAATTTTTTTTGTGGAGTTCCAGACATACTTTGGTCAGGATTATGCACAAACTGCATGGATCCATTCCATTGTAGATTGTATGACCATGCTCTGTGGTGAGTATTATTTATGAAGATAGAAAATTATTGACTATTGTTGAACTGTACATGACCATGACCTTGCCAAGGTCAAATGACTTTCATTCTCATTTTTTCTAAGTGAAAATCTATGGCAAAAATTGGCTAAGTCTATATGAAAAGAAAAGATAAATCTATATAAAAATATAAATATGTATAATAAGAAAATAGCCAACTTAACCAGTCGTAGAATTAATGGTCTTGGCTGATGCCAGATGGAAGAGGTCATTAACACACTGAAAAGGACATATATCATTTAGGTTTTCTACACAGAGGTAGGATGTTGAACATCAAAGAACTTGTCCTGATTCAGGAAAGCATAGTATATGCTTCACTTCTGTCTTCCAAATGCTAAAGCTTCCTCATCCTCCAACTACATAAACAATAATTGGATAGCACCAGGTACCTTTTCTATAGACTCCCCTTAAATGCCAACAGTATCACATCATATCTCTAGACTTAGATTTCCATAGGGTTCAAAATTTGGCTCACAGATTTCATCTTTACAAGCATAAATGCTTGGAGAAGCATTGGGGAGAATAAGATTGTGTAATCAAGAGCTAAATGTATTCACTATAGCTATAATTTCATCTAAGAAATATCAAAGTTGCTCTTTAGGGGATGGAAACCAATGCTACATCTGTATAGCAGATGATGACAAACTCTGAGGTTTTTTTTTTATAAATTTCAAAGCAAATTTATTCAATTGATGCTTTAGAGCTTATAAAGCTAGATTATACTGGAACAATCTGTTTACAGCATAGACTCACATAATCCTTTTATTTAGATGAGTATGAAGTATTTAGGAAACTTTTATCTCTTCGGGCCTCATCTCAGTCACAAAGAGAAATACTGTATTATTCAGTAACTCATAATAACTTCATCTGATTAAATGTTATTGGATAGGGGCATTCTGATAGCATTGTGTCCAGGTTTTTGGTATCCCAAAGAATTGAGTAAGACATTCAGTGAAAAGAGTTTGTGGCCCTGATAAAGGCTGGTACTGGATCTCTTACAGTCCTGAGATAATAGGAGGAACTATAACGGGTTTGACAGGAGTCATGGCCCAATGGTGTACCTGACTTAGCCCACCCCTTGGGAGGAGGAGCTTTTGACCATACAAAATTTTTAGAGGAAGTGTCATGGTACCCAAAGGCCACAATGGAGTCAAAACTGCAATGCAAATGAGGTTGGATATAGGCAAATGTTGTATACTTTTGGACTAGTGCATGCCTGGGGGCCTTGAGGGTGATAGGGTGACATTCATCTATTGGTTTTCTGATATTTTGATGTAATTATCTTTGCTTTGTCTGGTTTGATTCTTATCCCATGGCTTTCTGTTGTTTACTTGTCCTTGTTCTACCTCCTACCTTAATTCCATTCTGTGCACTGACTCATACTTATTTTTATAAAAAATCTACATACTCAGGAATCAGTTGAATTGTACTGAAATGCACTCCTTTGGTTAGGAGAAATTAGAGAGCAATTCTAGTATTGAAAGCAGATTTTATGAGAAGGCTAAATTGATTCCATTGATAAGAATGTCTGGAGGTATCAAACAAATCATGTATTTGGGGTTTGTAGCCCATTTTGGTTTTTGTTTCTTCAACAATCAGTTGATTTTCAGGGTCACATTATTAGTCACAGTGTCTGTGTCATTATGCCAAGAGGTTGTGTTTATCTTTCTCAGAGGATATTGGTGACTCATTTCCCTCACTGTTATCTTCTGGAGAAGGTATGTAATCTTCCAACTGAGGTGAATGGCCTTAAGTGACCAGTATGGTCGCAATGACTATGTGAGACTTCGAGCACAATCATTTTAGGTCAGTATAATGAAATTCTATACAAGCATGTGAGACCCCTTATATCAAATTACCACAAACTGCTTATCAGATCATGTAGTATTAGAACATTAGACATTAGAATGTGGGACAAGAGACAACAGAAAAAAAAAAAAACAAGAGACAACAGAATCACATCTTCAACACTTACTGTATAAAATCTGCTGTAAACAAAACAGAGAAGTGAAAAGTATTCATTGAATTGGGTGTAAATGTTTTCATTGAGTTTGGTGTAAATCTTGTTACTTTCCAGTAACTGTAGTATCAGTATCCTTGAGAATTCAGTAGATTCTCAGGATGTTGTTTAAGATATATATAGATATAGATATAGAAATAGAGATAAGTATAGATGATATAGATAAATAGATATAGATAGATATAGTTGATATAGGTATAGGTACAGATATAGATACAGATGCAGATATAAATATATCTCCACTATTTTAACTAGATAAGAGACATTGAACTGATGACTGAGTTCATCACGTACATTAAGTTGCCCCCCGCACTTCAACCTAATAAATACAAAATGATTATATTATGCAGATACAAATATAATCACAATTCTGATCTTGTTCATAGGAGTACTGGTGGCAGCATGAATTTTTCTTTAGAAGAAAATTTGCATGCCTCCCTCACCATTACAGCACTTCTGCCATTGTCTGGAAGACCCAAGAGTACAGGATGAAATAACTCCACACTCGGTGTGAGGTGGCTTCAGCTGTACTTCTTGGTGAAGTTGAGCGTGCCATATCCCTCATTTTTGCCATCTTATCATTTAAATAAGTCTTCTATAAGCCTTAAGATCAACACAATTAGGATACACCGGCAAACTACAAACAGTGGGCACAAGAACATGTCACCATGCATGTGAAACATTTTTCTTAGATTTTTCTGGGCTTTGACTTTTCATCCACAGGAACTTCTGAAGCCTGAAGTCACTGCCCAATTCTATCATTTTTTAATGAGCTCTCCCTCCATCCTGGTCACACAGTACCACTTTTTTTTCTACCAATTAACTCTTGTCATTAATGTTAATGGCGTATGATCAGTACTACATCAAACATCCCTGTGCTAGTGACAGGTGATTTAAATAGCTAATTCACTGTTTTAAAGAACATCCTATACTTCCAGAATTATGACTGTAACAGAATGAGTAATACGTAAGTCAGAACACTTGAGTTTTAGTTCAGCTCTGACTCTTATTCTATGTGTGACCATGAGCAAATCACTTCTCTCTGGGCCTCAGTGTCAAAAGCTATAACATTGGAGGGATGCACCTGTTGCTTTAGAGGTTTATCTCTGCTCTGCCAGCATCACACCACAGCCTTTGCACAGTGTCCTCAAGGCCTTTCTGTTGACCCTATTTATTATTGTTTTTGAAGCTCCACTTGGGAGTGTTGTCAGTAACCATTTATCCTGTCAAGTGGGAATCATGCTGGGTGGCTTGCTTGCATCTACTGGCTTCATCCTGGGCTCATTTGCCACCAGCCTGAAGCATCTCTACCTCACACTGGGAGTTCTTACAGGTAAGGACACCATGTACCACCTTCATTCAGGTATTGCCAGGCACATCAATAGAGCAGTGATTCATAAAATATTTGGTTTTTTACATGCATAATTAGGCTGACCTAGATTATGTCCACTTACTGAGCAGTTAAACAGGATGGAAATGTTGTACTACCATAATGAAAATGCATCACCACTTTAATTTAGCCATATGATAAAAGTAACTGCTGCTTTTCTCTTTGGCCTTAGAGTATGGCTGATAGTCTGCATTCAGTAGAAACAAGACATTAGTGCAATGTAAATTTTCAGCCATGATCATCCTCCCAATATCTTTGCCAATATATTAAAATACTATCTGTGTTCAACCTGAGTTGAATATCATTGCAATAAGTATCATTACCCACTAAGTCAGAATTTCCCATTTAAAAAAGAAAGCCTCTTGTTGAAAATATTTTTATATTACACATTCTCTCAAAGGAAATGTTTAGAGAATCATAATGAATCCCACGGAAGGAGAAGCAACACTGTGCATTCCATAGATCATACTGAAGGGGACTGCATAGGATCGAGATGGGGTTGGTTGGTGGGACTGGGGAGCAGTTGGCTGCTCATTTAGAAGGGCAGGGGGGCGTTGCACCCATTCCTGTCTGGCAACCGTGCCAGAGGGTAGCACAAATCAGACCAACAAAAAAATCCAACTTCATAATAAAGCTGTAAATCTGGCACTATCGGCCAAAAATGGTACATCTCTGCCTACTAATTCAAAGGGCCTGGCAGCTGAGATGACCAGCAGTAACAGTTTACCCATTCCTATTGTGGTTTTAGCCCAAATCCAGAACTCCAGGCAACTCTAGATTGCTGACCATCCTGCACTCTAGATGGAAGGAAGACCTGACAGTGGTCCTCCTTCTCTTGCTCTGACATTCTAAATGCCCTGAAATCCAGTCCTTCAGATTTTCTTAACTTAAAAAGCAATAAAAGTGAAAACCTTTAGAAAGTTTCTGGTCTGTGAACACTTTTCTCCTGATCTCAACAGATAACGTCATTGCTATGATCATGCATTCAATTAGGGTGATGTTTTCAAACTTGAAGAAATCATTCTGGAATTTTGAGGAGTCATATATGCTATTTCAATCCAAATTCCTGAACAGTACAGATTTTCAGTGTTGTGTCCTCACAGAAATAATTTTATATTAATAAAAATTTGGATTATTTTTATTAATAATTATTAATAATAATAAAAATTGTGGATAATTTATATTAAAAAAGAGAAAGAGGGAGGGAGGGAGGGATGAGTTTCTTGTCCAGATTTTCTAGTAAATTCTGTTTAGCTTGCGTAATGATTTTTATGTTCTTCGACTTTAAGAAGTCATATTCCCTTAAAGGTATTCTTCCTAAGAAGAAAATCATACATATTCTATATTTTTCTTGCTGTGTATGACTAGGGAGTGGAGACTGTTTTTCAGCTTCCTATACAAGACAGCCTTAAACGATTCTCAGGAAGGCGGGTTCTCTTTAATCCAAATCTTCAGAGATCATTCCTGCCCTCGGCTACTCATGGTATACCAGCAATCACAGCGTTCTCTTCCCCTCAGGTCTCGGATTTGCACTTTGTTATTCTCCAGCCATTGCCATGGTTGGCAAATATTTCAGCAGACGAAAAGCCCTTGCTTATGGAATTGCCATGTCAGGGAGTGGCATTGGCACCTTCGTCCTGGCTCCCGTGGTTCAGCTCCTTATTGAAGAGTTTTCCTGGCAAGGCGCATTGCTCATTCTGGGGGGCTTCGTTTTGAATCTCTGTGTTTGCGGTGCCTTGATGAGACCTATTACTCTTAAAGAAGACCATTCAAGTCCAGAGCAGAACCCCATCTACCGAATTCAGAAAGAAGACTGCAAGCGAGCATCTCCCTGTTCATCTTTGACCAAAGAACTGGCTAAGACTTGCCTTTGTTGCTCCTTTCAGCAGGAATATAATTTTTTACTCATGGCAGACTTTGTTGTGTTCGCCGTCTCTGTTCTATTCATGGCTTACGGCTGTAGCCCACTCTTCGTGTACTTGGTGCCTTATGCTTTAAGTGTTGGAGTGAGTCACCAGCAGGCTGCTTTTCTTATGTCCATACTTGGGGTGATTGATATTATCGGCAATATCACATTTGGATGGCTAACTGACAGAAGGTAAAATCCAGGAAAACGCAGTTGGCTGTTGGGGGCAGGGGGAGTTTAAGCCCTGAGTTCACATCACTCCCTTGGTCTGCAGAATATCCAGATCTAACGAAGATTAAGAAGCTTCAGTATCTGAAGGCAGTCGCCTTGCTGTTTCTTCTAAGTCAGGGCTGAGCAAAGCTTTTTCTGTAAAGAGACAGTAAACACTGCTGGCTTTGTGGGTTATATTATCTTTGCCACAACCACCCCAAAAACGCTATAGCATTATAGCACAAAAGTAGCCATAAACAATATATTAACAGATAAGAGTAGCTATGTTCTGATGAGCTTTATGCCCACTGAAATTAGAATTTCTCTTATAACTTTTACAACACAATATATTATTCTTTTGATTTTTTTCCCCAAACATTTTAAAATGCAAAAAACATTTGTTTAGAGAACAAAAACAAGTGGCAAGCTGAGCTTGACCATAATTTTCCTACCCCTGTCTTGATGGTTTAGGATAAGACTATCTAAATTGCAGAAGCCAGCCAGGTATACTGGCCTATTCCTGCAATCCTAACTACTCATGGGGTTGAGGAATTAAGACCACAAACTTGAAGCCAGCTTAGGCGACTTAATGAGACCTTGTCTCAAAATAAAACATAATAACAATAATAATAATAATAAAATAATTCAAAGGTTTGGGAATGTAGCTCAGTGACACTGTGCTTGCTTAGCATTTGTGAGGATCTGGGAAATAAATAAGTTGTGAGGATCTTAAAATAAATTACAAACTCCAAGGATAACTACAAGTTCTGGTAATAGATTTAATTCTATCCCAAGTCAAGTCAGTGCTCCACCAAGACAGCTTCTAACTGGGCCTTGTGATTTTAGTTTCTTTTGAACCACCCCAGAGATTGGTTGGCCAGGAAAGAAGATCAGAATTAGTTCAAATAAGGGGTACCGTAATAATATTATCTGTAGTGACATATATGTATTTATATTTGACAGTGAAAGAGTAAATATTTTCATTACATTGTAGGTTTAGAAACCAAAGTAATAGGAAATCTACTAGGTAGCTTCTCCACCAAGTGCTCATCTGTTTGTATTGGAGAGTGCAAACTACTCTTGCTCTCCTAAATGAACTCTTCACATTTGAGTTATAGCTTGGCATGGCTATTATCCTGTGGCTTCTCACAAATTATGTCTTTTGTAATTAATCAAGATTCCATTGACATTATCTAGTGTAGAGAATATAGTATTGAGGATTAATTCAACTTTTTTGAGGTGCTGAAGATAAACCCCAGGACCTCACATGTGCTAAGCATGTGCTCTATCACCCAGCTACATCCCCAAGCCCTCCATAAGTTTAATTAAGGACGAAAGGCAGGAGAAAGAGAAATCTGTCTGCATAATCAAGTAGATCAGTAATGTGTAATATTTACTTGCCTGTCAACCTCATACCACTTGTGAGGCTCAGATAAGGCTGTGGGTAAAAGATGTTTATAAACTACTAGAAGTGACATTATGCAGTCATTGAAATAATTGGTATAATGGATGGGTTTAGAGATACAGAGGGAAAGGATAATGGAGGTACCACTGGAGAAGTGTTGATATAACACCTAGTCCTAGTAGAAGACCATCATCTTCTCAGGGAATTCACTTTAATGTCTTCATATTCCATTTTCCTCTTTGTATAACCACTTATAGTATCGAACATCTGTCACATACTGGGTATCAATGAATAGCATATTTGAAAGCATCTGATCTAGGAGATGGTAGCTAGAAAATAGTAGTGTCCTGTCACAACTATCTCAAGAGTAACTTCTCATTATATAGTAAGTTTGAAATTACAGTTAGATTTTAGTGTATATATATTTTCTCTACCCCGTATATTTTCTCTGTGCTTCCTAGAGAGAGAAGTTCTTCCATTTGCATTTACCAAAAGAAAGATGGGAAGACAACATAGACAGCATACAAAGAAGTAATTTTTATAAATAATTTCAATGCTTACTGCTGCATGAGGCTGGTTCTAAAACTCCTTTACAGAACTTGTGGAGCCTGCACTCATCCTTTTTCTTCAAATCCACAGGTGTCTGAAGAATTACCGGTATATTTGCTACCTCTTTGCTGTGGGGCTAGATGGGCTCTGCTATCTCTGCCTTCCAATGCTTCGAAGTCTCCCCCTGCTTGTGCCTTTCTCTTGTACCTTTGGCTACTTCGATGGAGCCTATGTGACCTTGATTCCAGTAGTGACTGCGGAAATAGTGGGGACCACCTCTTTGTCATCAGCACTCGGTGTGGTATACTTCCTTCACGCAGTGCCCTACCTGGTGAGCCCGCCCATTGCAGGTGAGTGTATATAGAGAACCACTAACTGCTTTTGTTAAAACAGCGAACCTGTGCATCAGTGTATACACACACACACACACACACACACACACACACACAGAGGAATTGGCAAGAGATAAAAAAAATCATGTTCATGCCATGTGTCCTTGGCATTGTGGGGCACACCTGTAAGACCACTATTCTGGGAGGCTGATGCAGGAGAATCACCAAGTTCAAACTTAGCCTGGCAATTTAGCAACTTAGTGAGACCTATCTCAAAATAATAAGTACATCTAGATAGATGATAGATGATAGATAATAGATAAATAGATAGATGATAGATAGATAGATAGATAGATAGATAGATAGATAGATAGATAGATAGGGGAGGGATATAGCTTAGTGTGAAGGCTGTGGATTCAATCCCCAGTAACAACAACAAAAACAAACAAAAAAACAATAACAATGAACCACCATGTTCTTCCAACATCCTTGTTTTATAACCTTTTGTTTTTCAATGAAATGGGAGGCTCAGCATACCTGGCAAGGAAAAGATCCCAAATTAAGTTCCACTCCAAACTAATGATGGAAGCAAAGGAACGGAGCAGTCATCCAAACTTCTAAAGAAGTAGAGCATGTTCAGAGGGAAGTCTAATGAGTGCAGGATTGCTGTCAGGGAGCGGGGGATGAGGTTGGAAGGAGAGCTGTGTGTGTGATAGTGGAGTGCTCTGAGTGCCAGGCGAGGGGCTGGGTTCTCTATTTTTCACTTACTATTTACATTTACAAATGTGGGTCACATTAAAGTTTTTGTGCAAAGTGGTAATAGTAAAAAGCGTATTTTAGAAAATGCAACCTGGCAATGGATCTAGTGATTTAGGACAGAGGTAGTTAAGATTCTGTTTTAACAGTTTAGGAGCAAACTGATAAAGGCCTAACCTAGTGATGCTGCAGCAGAAATGGAACTGAACTCTGAGAGAAAGGTGGAACTTTTGAAAAAAATTAACTGAATTTAGCTTATAGGGGTGAGGGCAACAAAGAAGTTAAAGATGGGTTAGAAAATAATGTCATGGCTGAAAGAAATAAGGAAATTGAAGACAGAGCCTTTGTCTGAAAAATAATGAATTTAAAGTTTAGATATAGTAAAACACTTGTTATGGGTGAAAATACCCAACAGAATGCACTACAATTTAGAAGGAGACCAAATTTGGACATACAGATTTGAGAGTCATCAGATAGAACTTTTAGCATGTTTTATAAGCTATAAAATGCTATAAAAACTTACGGCATGATCAAACAAGGAATTTGACAAATATATATTGTGTATGTCAAGTAATTCAAATATTTACTGCTTTCATAACTAACATCTTGGTTGGTGCTGGTGATACGGCAGCAGCAAACTGGTCCAAACTTGTTTCTCCTTTCTGGAGCTTGTAGTTTCCTGGACTAGTGTTTCCTGGAATGAGATCCTGGGACCCCTTGATCCAAATCCCCAGCCCACTTAGTAAAAAGTGCAGATTCCTTGACCTTTCACCTATGATTTGAACTTTCTTAAATTTATTTTTTATCAGTACATGTTTGCAGTATGTAATGTTTGCATTTCTTGTAGGTATAGAGTGCATCTCAATTCCTTTTTTCACCCTCCATCCATATTTTGATACCTCTTCCCATTTGAGAAAGATCTATTTCCTTACTTCCTGTTATTTGTCCTTTATTTAGTTCTTCTTATATTTTGTGTTTCTCATATAAGAGAAACAATATGATATTTAAGTTCGTGTATCTGATTTATTTCAGTTAACATTATGGTCTCATGGTGCATTCATTTTCCTGCAAATGATTCACATTTATCTATCTTTCTGGAAGAGTAGTATTTTTGTAGGTTCCAGGATTCTAGGTTTTCAGCCAGTTCTCTTGTGATGTTCAGGCACGCTCAAGATTTACAGTAACCAGTCTGGATTATTACCTGCTAAATTAAATCCAGGAGAGTGAACAAAACGTCTGAAAATGTGCTGGCAAGACCTGATCCAAATATTTGCCTAAAAAAGGAAAGGGATTTTTTGAACAAGGCAGTTTCTGATATTAGTTGGTATTATAAATAGATAATTTATGTTCATTTCCAAACTCTAGCAAGTGCTAAAGCAGTACACTAGGGAAATTGTGTCCGCTTAACTGCTGCTGGTAAAAATTCCTGATTAGTTGAAACTCTGTGATGCTGGACTATCAGTTTATTGTCTTATTTTTGAAAACTACTCCCAAAATGTTCCCACATCCCCCACTTATCACCAATTTTAGGATTTACCAGCTTTTAAGAACAATATAATTCTGATACATGTCACAAAACATACTTGAAATTAAGATCCCAGGATGTTTTTTCTATTTCTCACCTTCATTTGCAAATCAGATGTTATAATCATTAATGGAATGTAAACGATTAAGATGGAAGTTCTTACTGCAAAACTTCTCTTTTTATTTAACTTTAAAATGACTATTCACCACCTGGCCTCCATTTGGTGCTACAGAGATGCACTGTTAAATCAAATGAAAACCAAAATTTTTAAGAGTAATTTGTAAGAAATTTTATGGGACTTATAACAATTTCTATGCTTTTTTGACTAGTGAATTTGAGGTATGTGAAAGGAGGAGCCATATACTGCTCCGGTGGAATTGGGGGGGGGCATATAGGTAGAGTTTAGAGGAAGTTTTAAAAGAACTCTTTGTTAATCACAAAATAATTGCCTGTCAAGGTACAATTTTATCCCACTATTTTCTCAGATAATCATGGCTTATATTTTGCATATCATAAACATGGTTTTCTTCAAAATTTAAAGTTGGGAAAGATATTCAAATTAATTTGTTGCAACAAGAGATGAAGAGGCCAGACATGGTGGTGCACACCTGTAATCCCAGCACTAGGGAGACAGAAAGGAGGATTGTTTGAGACCATCCTGGGCTACAAAGGGAGCTCAAGGCCAGCCTGAACTGCATAGCGCGACCCTGTCTCAAAAGAGGAGAAAAAAAACGAAGAGATGAAAGGGGAAAAATCTCTGTGGTTAAACGTCTGCCTTCAGAAACATGCATTTGCCACATGTATAATGACCTAAAGTTCTAATTATCCAACAGGAAGGGGGACAGTTGAAACTGGGTCCAATGGAAAATTTACATACTGCTGAAGCATATGCTACTTAAGATAGTATGTAGGTGCTGGGAGTACTAATACTTTTTGCATAATTATATTCTTTTTAACACCCTAGATAAACTTTCTAAACTTCAATAATTTGAAGTTTAAGTTTAATAATTTGAAGTTTAATAATTTGTTTAAAGTCACAGGGTAGCCAAGCATGGTGGTATATTCCTTTAATTCCAACACTTAGGAAGGTTGAGGCAAGAGGATGATAAGTTCAACCTCTGTCTGGACAATTTAGAAAGAGCTTGTTTCAGAATTAAAAAAAAAAAAAAAAGATCATGAATGCAGCTCAAGGGGAGACTGCCCCTGGCTTCAATCTCTGGGACTGAAAAAAAAAAAAAAAAGCCACAGGACACACAATAAAAAGCTAATATTTATTGTATAGTTACTAAGTATGTGACATTCTTCCAAAAATTTTACTTAATAACAATCATTTCATCTTAGAAGTTGCCCTGAAAAACCATTTCTCATTTGCTACATGTTATTTTTAGGCAACCTGGTTTTTTTTCTCTAAATTATAATGCTTCTGCTAGCAATCTGTTGTCATTATGCTTGCAAATTATTAGATTTGAGAGTGGGTAAGTATAATAATTGGATTTTCAAGTCAATAATATAATTTTTCTATTGTTTGTTGCAGGATGGCTGGTAGATACAACGGACAGCTATACTGCAGCGTTTCTTCTCTGTGGATTTTCCATGATATTTAGTTCTGTGTTGCTTGGCTTTGCTAGACTTGTAAAGAGGATTAAAAAACCCCAGACGCAGCTGGTTGCCAAAGAATCTGATCCGAAGCTGCAGCTATGGACTAATGGATCGGTGGCTTATTCTGTAACAAGAGAATTAGATCAAAAAGATGAGGAATTTGTGGCTGCACCAGGGCCTGGTTATGACCTCACATGACCAATGGCCTTGAGCCTGGGAATTTTCAGCGCTGAGGGAGGTGGGACCACCAATGCTTCATGTTTCTGAAGCATTTTATTTTGATAGAAGTACTGCCTTTCAAGAAAGTTATTATTGTTGTTTTGTTAACATATTTATATGGGAAAATAGCAAACAATAAAGAGTGCCGGACTAGCCTATAGTTTCCTCTTTTGGGACTTGTACTCATAATCAGACTTAGACCTTTTGGGCAATGGAGCGTTGCTCCATGGAGAATATAAGGACACTGTTGATTTAATGAGCGGTAATTAGGAGTAATTCAATAGATAATCAAAGTACATGCTACTGGGCAGCAGCTTCGTCATCCCAAAGTCTGCCATTCCAGCCACCTTCCTCAACCTGAAGGCAAACAGAAACGCTAACAAGCAGGGCTGCTGTCTTCATCATGTTTGCAAAAGAGGGGTCAGCTTGGGTGTGACAGTGGAAGGTGAAAATTCAGTCTTTTCATGGCAAAGTTTCTCATTAGAGTGGTTGAGGAATACTTGAGATTGTCCCACAGGCAATGGTTAATACAGAAAAGACTTTCCCCGCTTCATCATCCTCTAACCAGCACTTGTATCTGCCGATGGCTAGCTATCACTTGGAGAATCCAACAAATCATGAAATGCCGTGAATGAAAAAAAAAAAAAAAAAAAAAAAAAAAAAAAAAAAAAAAAA